TGGCACAAAATGAAGATGCAAACTTGACGTGTACAAATTGGGTACAATCAAGGGCGGCTCAAAGGGCTCTATCCAATTTAGAATAGATTATACTCCCATGTTCTTACTTATTGCACCATGTGTAGTAACTGCCCTACTAACTACCCTCACTTAGAATCTCTTCCAGCTCACAACTAGTCATACAATCTTTTAAATCCTTAATTTCATCATCAGTGACTTTATTTCCATTAATTATGTCTTAAGGAGATAAAATAGCATTGAAATATCTAATTATTCCCCAACTATCCTTCATATTGTTAGTTATTCTTTCCAACTGATCCCAAAGCCTTTTCCTATCTTGGGCATTATTATGCCCATAAAAAAAAGTAAGGTAAAAGTATCTATTATCACCAATACCTCTACGTTTGCAATGTATAAGCTGATCACTCCAATGCTAAAGGAACCCCAACCATTTAAGAGTTTTTCCTCGATGTAAACAAACTTATTCACTCTAAATTTAGTCTCAAGTAATCCCAACCAATCAATATCATATTTATTAACGAGTCTCTTGACCTGAGTTTTCTTTAGGGGACTATTAAGCCCTTAATATTCCAACTCCCTATCATGTGAGAAATGGATAGCGCCCATCATACTGAGCATTCTCCAAAACCTTCATAAACGAACCCAATGCAGCACCTTCATCCACCTTAACAATCTTCTTCTTAGCTGCTTTTTTACCAGCCACCTCGATAAACCTCTCCTCTTGCCCATCAAATTTAGGTATATCATAAACATCCTCCTTTTTTGACTCCTTTTCATTCTTATTTATCTCTTTCTCCTAACCTTCTTTAGTATTCTTGGCATTCTAAACTAACTTCCTTCTTTAGTAGCTTTGTTATCATTTTTCATGCAGGTCTCCTCCATATGCCCCAATTTCCTGCAATGGGAACATGTGCAAGGGAACTATTCATAAGTAACATGTTGTGTAAGCACATTATTTTCATCATCAATAAAGTGATCATCTGTGGAAATTCATGTTGAACCTTTACCTCTTTATGTATTCTAACATAAGAATACTTAGTTTTGTTAGCAGATAGTCTATCCCTCTTTACAGGTTTCCCCACAAGGCTACCCAACTTGCTAAGGCTAGACAAGCTCTAGTATCGCATATCCAGGTCTCGGAATTATATCCATATAGGCACATCATCCAAATGCTTAAGATTACTTCACCCCAAGATACCATTTTTGAATCCAAACAGGTTTATTATCAAAGTAATACTACTTCCTTTTGATAACAAAATCCATATCTTCAACTCTCTTAAAAGACACAATATATTTCCCCTCATTCATTAGAGAAATGTCTTCAATAGGGTATTCTTTCCAAATCCTATTAACAAAACTTTTAACCACTTTTAAAGGAAGACTAGCCCCCAAAATACAACATACCTAAGTTGCAACCCAATATGTGATACGGCCCAACCAGTGTTAGTCCCGGATGAAGGGGAAGGTCAGCCCGTGAGTCGCGTATCCGGTCGTCTAAGGAGGAACGTTGGTCCGCCAAGAAGATATGCAGATTATGTTTAAGTTTCATTATTTTATTATTATTATTTCTCTTAATTATTGTATTTAGATTTTCTTAGGTGAGCAAAATATAAGCTCCTTCGAGGGTTTCTTTTCGGTTCTTTACCTCGATGCTTTTCTTGAACCGACAGGATAGATAACTAGAATTCTAGGGTTGGGGAAACTCTTTTCCTATTTAAATGGGTGCTTCTACGTAATAGACATCAACAAGAATACAACTCCTAATTCTCCCCACTTTTACTCTTCTCTCTCTTCTCTCAATCTCCACAATCCTTCTCCTTCTCTAACTTCTCCTGCCGTGAACCCTTGGTTCACCGCCAGTATCTAGCGCCGCCCCCCTAGGGTGGTATCAATATGTTGCGTATTTAATAATGTCCTCCTTCGTAAGTTTTGTCATTAGGCTTCCATTCAGCTCCATTGCAGGAATATATTTCAAACTTAGATCATCCTCCCGATCCCCCACTACACTCGCATATGTTTTTTGGATGGGTATATCCTCCTTGATCTTCTTCATCTCTAGATCTTCCGATATGATCAGATCTCTAGCCTCCTTGCTAGGGTTTGAATCCATGACAAATTTGGGAGTGTCCTTTCCGGCTAAAGATTTGGCAGAACTCGAACAATTTTCATCTAGTGTTTGAACGTCTTGCCCAGGTTTTGATGTTTTCTTTGGTTTTCCTCTTCTCCGCGGCATAGCTAGAGAGAGAAAGCTACTGCTCTAAAAAATAAATAGCTAAATATTAAGTTTACATTATAATTAAAAAAATTGATATATCAAAAATACATCTAAAAACTAACCTAATAATATTAAATTTACATTTTAAGTAAATACCTTTTTTTTTATGGATGCGCCCCGTTTCAACGGTGATGATCCCACCAGTTGGATCTTTCGTATCCAATGATATTTTGATTATTTCCAAACGCCGGACTCGGACTGGCTGCATCTGGTCGCCATGCCCATCGACCACCTGGCGTCCGAATGGTTTCACTATTATCAGGCCAACAACGGTGGTGCCACTTGGGATGAATTCTTGTTGGCCGTTCAATAACGCTTTGATCCGGATTATTATGAAAACTACATTGGGGTGCTCTCTAAACTCACGCAAACCTCCTCGGTCATGGACTACCAAGCGGCTTTTGAGTCCGTTCTCAACAAAGTGGCAGGTGTTCCAGAGGCAACCCTAATTGCCATGTTTGTTGCCGGCCTCCAACAGCCCATCCGTCGTGAGGTTAATCTTCGTAGCCCTGACACTCTTCCCTCTGCTTTCGCATTGGCGCGTGAATTGTCCGCCTGTCACCAGGATGCCGCGGTTACTTTTGGCACGGCCACACGTCGCCACTGGTCGTCGCGTCCCCCTCCTAATCCTTCTGCTGGTCTTTTGCCGACGCCCACAGCCGCTCCAAAGCCGCTAGTCACGACTGCCCGTGCACCGGACAGGCCTCCACCGAACCCTTTGCCCGTGGTTCGTCTCTCTCCGGCAGAAAAGGCGGAGTGTACTAAGAAAGGCCTATGTTGGTATTGCGATGAGAAATGGGTTCCCAGGCACAACTGCAAACATCGTTTCCTTGTTCTCATGGGTCCCGACGAGGGCGACGAGGAACCCACTGTACTGGACATCGCCGACGACGTAGACACCCCTGCCATCATCACTGGGGACGTCTCTAGTGTTCTATCCCTTGCCGGCATCTCGAGTCCCCGATCATTAAAATTGGCCGGGAAGGTGAACGACGTGCCCGTACAGGTTTTGTTAGACAGTGGTAGCACGCATAACTTCATCCACCCAAGTGTGGCTGAGAAGTTATCCTTGGTGCTTTACCCCGTGACCCCCTTTTGGGTCTATGTTGGCAACGACGATTCAATGAAGTGTTCTTACTCCTACCCGCGCACACCGCTCTTCCTTCAGGATCATCCCTTTACTATCGATCTCTACCTCCTCAATATTCATGGGCCCGACATTGTACTTGGGGTCCAATGGCTTCAAACTCTTGGTCGTGCGGCGCATGATTATACCAAGATGACAATGGAATTTGAATGGGAGGGAAGGCCTATTACGTTGCACGGTGATTCGGAAGGCCTTAAATCTCTTTCTTACAATCAGTTATGCTCCTTAATGGGTCGCACACAGGATGTCCATCTCTATGAATTGATTCCGTCTCCGCCCACGCCGGATGCGTCTTCCACTGTCGGCCCTAGCTTTCCCGAAGACCTGCCAGGCCCTATCCGTGAGGTGCTGCTCGCTCACCCTGGGGTCTTCGGCCTGCCCACAGCACTGCCACCCTCTTGGGCATGGGATCACCGCATACACTTGGACACCGCGGCCAAACCCGTGAATGTTCGGCCGTACCGTTACCCTTATTTTCAAAAAATAGAAATTGAGCGCCAAGTTCGGGAGATGCTTCAACAAGGGATTATTCGCCAAAGTCATAGCCCATTCTCTTCTCCCGTCTTATTAGTTCGGAAAAAAGATGGGACGTTCCGCTTCTGTATTAACTATCGGGATCTTAATGCGGTCACTATTCCGGATCACTTTCCGATTCCGACGGCCGACAAGCTTTTTGACGAATTGGGTGACGCTAGGGTCTTCACCAAACTGGATTTACGTTCGGGGTACCACCAGATACGTATGCACAGCTCCGATATCTTCAAAACGGCATTTCGCACACATGACGGCCACTATGAGTTCCTCGTTATGCCGTTTGGCCTCACTAATGCCCCGTCCACTTTTCAGGCTGCCATGAACGATGTCTTCCGTGCCTATCTTCGCCAATTTGTGATTGTCTTCTTTGATGACATCTTAGTGTACAGCCCCTCCATGGATGCTCACGTCGACCACCTGCGGACGGTTCTAGGGACTTTGATGGCTAACTCATTTTTTGTCAAGTTGAGTAAATGTTCTTTTTCCAGGGAAACTATTGAATATTTGGGGCATCTCGTCACTCAAGGCACCCTCAAACCGGATCCCGACAAGATAGCGGCCATGGTTGCTTGGCCACGGCCTACCTCCGTTACACAGTTACGCGGGTTTTTGGGGCTCACCGGCTACTACCGTCGCTTTGTTGCAGGGTATGCCTTAATCACCGCCCCTCTCACTGACCTTTTAAAAAAAGATAGCTTCCATTGGCATTCCGCGGCTAACACTAGCTTCGCACGCCTCAAGCAGGCCATATCCACGGCGCCGGTATTGCGGCTACCTGATTTCGGTCAGACCTTTTACTTGGAAACTGATGCTTCTGACACTGGCATCGGGGCAGTACTCCTCCAGCAAGATCATCCGTTAGCATTTTTCAGCAAGAAGCTAGGCCCAAAACGCCGAGTTGCCTCGACCTATCACAAAGAATTATATGCCATTGTCGAAGTCGTGCACAAATGGTGTCAATATCTTTTGGGGCGGGAATTTGTTATTAGAAGTGATCAGCGAAGCCTCAAGGAACTCCTTCTGCAAGTCACACAAACGCCGGAGCAGCAATTTTATATTCGAAAGTTGATGGGGTTTAAATTCCGAATTGAATACAAGCGGGGCTGCGCCAATCGGGTCGCCGATGCCTTGTCACGCTGTGAGGCCGAGGACCTAGATCCCTCGTTGCTGGTGGTTTATGCGCAACCCCTGCCCAACCTCATGCAAACCCTACGGGAGGAAAATGCTACCTGTGTGGATCTCCAAACCCTTCACACGGCTGTTTCATCGGGCAAGGCTTCGACCAGATCATCAGGGCATCGACCGTACTTTTCGTCGCCTCGCTGCTGTTTTTTATTGGCGGACAATGCGGCGTGACGTACGGCGATTTGTGGCTTCCTGTGCGGTCTGTCAAACTACGAAGTATTCCACTTAGAAACCTGCAGGTTTGCTTCAACCATTGCCTATTCTGGATCGGGTATGGGATTCCGCTTCTATGGATTTTGTTGCTGGTTTGCCGGCGTCGCATGGGTTCTCTGTCATTATGGTGGTGGTGGATTGTTTGACCAAGTATTCCCATTTTGGGGCATTGGCTACTGGTTATGATGCTCCGAAGGTGGCGCGGCTCTTTCTCGACACAGTCGTTAAACATCATGGTTTTCCCAAGGACATTGTTTCAGACCGCGATCCTGTGTTTATGAGTCTATTTTGGAAAGAATTAATGCGGTTGAGTGGCACCTTCCTCAAATATAGTACCGCATACCACCCACAAACAGATGGACAAACCGAGGTTGTGAATCGGAGCCTCGAGCAATACCTCCGTGCCTTTACGTTTGAATGGCCAAAAAAGTGGGCTGATTTTCTTCCTTGGGCAGAATTGGCTTTAAATTGCAGCCACAATGAAAGCATTGGTATGCCTCCCTTCCAGGCCCTATATGGTCGTCCCCCACCTTCTGTCTTTGCAACCATGCCGGTACGCTCTCGAGTTGCCACCATTGAGGAAATGTTAAAGGAGCGGGCGGATTTACTCATCGATTTGAAACATCATTTGTTTAAAATGCAACAGTGTATGCGTTCACAAGCGAATACTCACCGTCGGGACGTGGTTTTTTAGGTGGGCGACCTCGTGTTGTTGAAGCTACGGCCCTATCGGCAGTCCTCCATGGGGTGTGTTTGTTAGAATAAGTGCCCTTCACTAGAGGGGGGGTGAATAGTGAGGCACGAGAATGTTTATAAATTTTCGCGGAATAAAAATCGCAGGGATAAAGTAAAGAGTGGAATGAAAAGGAGTAAAGGGAGCACACCAAGATTTATACTGGTTCACCACAACGTGTGGCTAGTCCAGTCTCTCGAGAGACTCTCTCGAGCTACACTACTTCCGTTAAGCTTACAGGTTCTTAACAAACCGTTACAACCTGAGAACTCGAGTCCCACGAGCCTCAATACACTTGCTCGGAGATACCGCACTCCAAGACTTCAACCCGAAGGAAAATACCTTTCCTTCATACAACCAAGGGAAACAAGCTTCCCTAAGCGTGTTTACAACACTAAGAACACTCAAGAACAAGACTCTCTTTAAGAGTAGATGTTGAGTAAACTATATACGCTCAAGAACAACTCAAACTTCACAAATTGGCTCTAGAAAGCTATGGAAAAAATGTTGTTTGGATGCAATGATAATATGAATAAAGTGAAGTGAATTCATGTGAAAAGCAGACCCAAACACCCCTTTTTATAGTGCCAAAATAGGCTCCAACGGACCAATACATTAAAGGGGTGATTGGCTTGATTTATGGGATTGAAAAGATTTGGGATCTGCAGGATATTGGTTTCCCATCGATGTTAGGGACTTACCCATCGCTGGTAAGCCAATTTTCCTTCAGTTTAGAAGCCAACGGTCACCTACCCATCGATGGGTAAATGCTTTCCATCGCTGGGTGGAAGGTTGACTATTAAATAAGGAAAGAATCAGCCTTAAATGACTTCCAACGGTCATGCCTTCCCATCGATGGTTAAGCCTTCCCATCGCTGGGTTCCCATCGATGGGTAGAGCTTCCCATCGCTGGGTAAGGGCATTCTGCCTTGTGATAATTTTGGACCAAGGCTTGAACAGCGATGGGTAGAGCTTCCCATCGCTGTTTGGCATGGTTCTGGAATTCAATTGGGCTGAAGGCTGCTTATCCATCGATGGGTAATATCTCCCATCGCTGGGTGAAATGATTCTGGAATCCCTGGATCACTTTCCCATGCATGGGTGAAATCTACCATCGCTGGGTAGATGGCTAGTCCAGAACCATGGCTTAGCCGACCGGCACTGAAACCCGACTGAAAAATGCAAAGTTTTAAGTAAATACCTTTTTTTTTACAACGGTGAGGTAGAAAATATTTCTAAAGACTATCTTCCAAAACATTGTTCTGATTGATTGACTTGTATGATCAATTAAATTAAATTGGGTAAAGGCTATGTTTAGAAAATAGCTTTTCGGTTGATTCTTGGCTTCTTTGGATAATTTTGACGCTTTAAACTAATTAAACAACCAAAATGATTTTTTGGCAAATGACTTTTGCACTTGGCTACTAGACCCGAAAAGCCAATATATGAAAAACCAAGAAGTGTAGCTTTTGGACATAACTGTTAGATAAAAATAAATTTTTATTATTTTTCTTTATATGTTTTGTAATATATGCAAAAAAATAAAAATTAAAAACATAAAAATTTTAGAAAATAATAAGTTAACTTAAAATAGAAAATTAAAAATAATAAATTGAAATAATTTAAAACTAAAAAATAATATAATAAAACAAAAAAGAAAAGGGTGAAGTATGTTTCTTGTCCTTATAAAATTAACCAATGTTTTTTGTTATTTCTTGAATCTCGAAACAACTAATTGCAAATATGAAGCTAATTTAACCAACTATTTTTTATAACCAGTCAACACATCTAGTTGGTCAAACTAGCTAAACTTAACAATTATTCAATATAGTTGATACAAATAGCTACCAGTCAAGAGCTTACATCCAACTTTCAAACATGGCCAAAAATAACCAAATTTGGTTGAACGGTCATTTAACAAACAAGCCATTACCTTATTGGTAATAAATGAAATATTTTTTGTATGCCAAATGTTGCAAGCTTTTCCAAAAGTTTGTGCCATTCCAATCTCTTTACATTTATATCCGCCCGGTAACGCCTCAACTCTAGTATATGAGCTAGTAATGCAAACAGAATTATCACAAACTTCACAAACTTACTATTTATGTTTTAAATTTTCATTTTAAATTTTTTTACACTATTCATTTTTTTTAATAAAAGTTTACAAATAGTAAGTTTGTGAAGTTTGTGACCATTGTGTTTGTGAACCAAACATTTCTCTATATGGGCATACCGAACTCGAATCCCGAAAACACTGCTAGAAAATAATTATACTAATTATAAAATATCTACGAATAAGAGGTACAAGTTCTACCCTGTAAATTACTTGTGAGAGAACTTGGATAATTTGTGAAGTTAAATAAATTAAAAAGATGAAAAAGTGATTTAATGTTGGTGTTTGAGAATAATTAGCTTATGGATAAAGTGATTTTCTACAAAAGCTGAAAACAAAAGCACATCATACCTGCTTCTCTGAAACGGTGTTTTAAGTACAGAATAATGTTGGTGAAAAGCAGAAGCTGACATGCCAAACAGAGTAAAATCATTTCCATTCAAAACAGAAGCTAAATTTTTAAAAGCAGCGCACTGCCAAACACCATCTCTGTATTACTCAACTTACTTCTTCCCGGTGATTTTCCGACCAATTTTGAGAGATTCTTAAAAATGGGCTATTTCTTTTTATTATGAAGTATGGGCAGAAATACCAGTGACTTGGCAAGTTGACTTTGAGTTTGTTTTGTTACAATTTCAGTATTTTTAAAATACCTTTTAACAATACTATCTAGTTTTAACACTTACACTTAGGGGCTGTTTGGCAACTTCTGAATGGGTAAGTGCTGAACCAGTAAGAGGTCTGAATCATTAAGTGCTGAACCAGTAAGAGGTCTGAACCATTAAGAGCTAGTATATTGCTTAACTACTCAGAGGCAAATGTCTGATCAATTCAGATAACAGCTCTTAACCATTCAGACTCTGTATAATACTTAACCATTCAGAGGCAAATCTCTTAACCATTCAGACATCTGAACCATTAAGAGGCTGAAACAAACAGTCTGAATCATTAAGTGCTGAATCATTCAGACATCTGAACCATTAAGAGGCTGAAACAAACAGCCCCTTAATCACCCCGGCCATTAAAAGAACTATTCAATTCGAAATGCAAAATGAAAACATTATTACTAAATAAGACATGGCAAAATTCACAAGAACACTCCCAGAAATTATAGGTTTTACATAAATACTTCCAAATTTGTTTATTTACACAGTTACTCCCACATTTGTCTATTATTTACGTCGTTACTCCGCGATTGCTTCATCATCAGTGTTCCTCGGGTGCGTCTTTTTATACGGGGTTCTTCATATTTTTTTATTGACTCAAATTAAATTAATATGTACAGACTTGATATTAAACATTAAAAAGATTTAGGAAGTTCGAAATCTGATTTTTTTTTTAAAAAGAGTATGAAAAATAAGGGCAATGATTAGGTTTACTAAGACGTGAGAAAGACGAGGGAGAGAATAAGTTGAGGTGAATATGGTATATTAGAGTGAAAAAAAATATATGTCTGCATTTTAACTGTTGACTTAACACAAAAAAGACACATCCAAGTAACACTAATGATCACTACCAAATTTGGGAGTAATGATGTAAATAAAAGAGAAAGGTGGAAGTAATGGTGTAAATAAACAAATTTGGAAGTATTTATGTCAAATCTGTAATTTCTGAGAATATTCTTGTCAATTTTGCCATAAGACATCTATATGTCACTTCATCATCTCTCTCAAAATAAAGTTTATATTTCTTTATTGATGTTTTAAAAATTTAGAATTCATATCTTCTTACTTTACAATTAATAAATGATACTCACTCCATCTCAAAGAAGACTATTTATTTTATTTTCAAGGACGTTCCAAAAAAACTCTTTTTTATAGAGAATTTTAAGTGCTCACAATCTTTCTCTTTCCTCTAGGAACTTTTTTTAGAACGGAGGGAATATATATATATATATATATATATATATATAAAATACTTTTTGATTGAATAATTTAGAAGAATACAAGGTAATGAATATATATGTGGAGTTGGAATATTCTAGAATTCTCCATATTAATGGCTAGATAAATAAGGAAATATTGAATTATAATAACTCTAGCTATAATAGGGAACAACCATAAATATAATATATAATATTAAATATATTAAAATAATTAATGTATTTAACATGCTACCAACGTCTTGGGAGGTGAAGATTGAACGCCAACTTTTTTACTTGAATCGTGACCAGAATTGTAATCATAACCTAGAGGCATATCTTCGGTTAGAGCAGACTGATTGCATCCGGCCGAGAAGAGAAGAAGAAACATTTCCAGGAAAGAGATGTGACGGCGTTGATGAGGAGAGGAGAAAAGCCGCTGCGAACAGACTCATGCTGCTGACGTCGAAAGAGGGAGAATGTTGACGTGCGCTAGAGTCGTGCCCGACTAATTTAGAGGAGAAACAAAAAGAATGAAGTGTTCCTACTTCCTAGGGATGCTTGTTAACTGAAGATATGCCAACTGAGCAACCTGATGTGACAGTCTCATCTTAAATCAAGAAATGATGGTGATGGATCTAGAAACAGACAGTTGTGGTTGCCCTGGAATATTTTTTTATAGATGGAATTATGAAGGAATTAGGATCAAAGGAAGAACAAGCTAAGTGAAAGTGAGGTAACCGTCGCCGGACAAGCCATCGGCGACGGCGACGGCGGAAGCAGAAACTATTAGGTCACCAAGACCAAAGGCTCCGATACCATGTAAAATAATACATAATGCTTTTTGATTGAATAATTTAGAGAATACAAGGTAATGAATATATAGGTGGAGTTGGAGCATTCTAGAGTTCTCTATATTAATGGCTAGATAAATAAGGAAATATTGTACTCCCTCCGTTTGAAAAAACACTTCCCATTTGGATTTGGGGCAAAAATAAGGAAGAGTTAAATTATAGTTCATTTTCAATTTTGCCCCTGATGTGATTGGTAAAAGTAATATGTGATGGATAGATTATTAGAGAAAAAATATGATGTGATAGGTAGGGTATGAAAAAGTAAGGGTAAAAGTGGTTTTTTAATATAAAAGGGAAGTGTTTTGTTGGAAGTAGAAAAAATGAAAGAGGATGTGTTTTTGAAAACGGAGGGAGTATAATCTAGCTATAATAGGTAACAACCATAAATATAATATATAATATTAAATATATTAAAATAATTAATATATTTAACATATATATATATATATATATA